ACATATGTACATATGCATCCATTATAAGTTCAGATGGGTATGAGTCTATTTAATTGCTTATTTACACACATGTATGTATGTGCCTGTATGCGTATGTATATATACACATATGTATATATACACATATGTATATATACATATGTGAATATATGATGTTTTTGTAGTATAGCACGAACTAGAAACCCACAGCCAGAACACATGCCTACATATAGATATTCATGCCCCCTATAAATATATATGTATATATACATATAGTATATACAGTATATATAGAGATATAGTATTATGGGGAGGGGGGGAGAGAGAGAGAGAGAGAGATAGAGAGAGGAGCGTGGTAGAGTAGGACTGGGCAGGCATGCGTTGCATGCCTTAAAGAAGGGCCAACAGTTTGCCAGGCTTCGGTGGGATACATAAGTCGGCATACATAGAAGCCAGTACACACAGACGAACACACACATATATGTAGCTGCATGTTCCACATACTGTTCATGTTCGTAAAAGACTCACTATAGATAGGTTGCTATATATGGAAGGACTTAGCTTGTATTTCCATGTATCACTATATTATCTATCATGGCGAACATGTACGGCTCATGAACAAGACATCAAGCACTGCAGTGTCCTGCGTTCCATTTCTGCAGGATTTCATCCCTGACACCCTGATCCTTGTTCTTATTGCTTTTGCCGTTGACATACCTGTACATAAATCCCCATTCGTTCGGGTGCGTCTGGCTGTTAATTTTCTGGATGTCGGGCTGCTTCGTCGTGGCATCCGGCACGACGGCATACTTCTTGGCGTCAATCTGGGTGGCATGGGTCCTGCAGCAAACAAAGGTGCACATGGAAGTTCTGCATCAAACAGGAACAAGCTCAAACCAGAAGCAGAATACTCCATCTTTTCATGGCAGCTCTCTCGGCCAAGTTACTTTGGGTCCATGCCTCCCTCCTCTTTCGGGGTGGGAGGCGCTGCTTCCGCAGACAAATCTTCCGTTGGCGATGTCGTCTGGACTTCCAAATCCACCACATGACTCG